TTACAAGGCAAAACAATGCTTATATGTGAAACTTAAACTGTAGTGAAGTCATTTTGACAATTAATATTGTTTAAATCACAAGTAATGTCAAGATGCTTTATCCACTTCCTGTGCTGTCACAAGTCAAAAGAATAAAACCACAATGAAATACCACTTTACACTCACTAGAATTCCTATAATAAAAAGATAGATATTAATAAGTATTGGTAAGATATGGAGAAATATGGCCGGGTGCATTGGCTCACACCTGTAATCCCGGAATTTTGTGAGGCCACAGTGGGCAGATCACTTGATGACAGGAGTTCCAGACCAGCCTGTCCAACATGACAAAAACCCATCTCTACTGAAAATACAAAAATTAGCCAGCGTGGTGGTACATGACTATAATCTCAGCTACTCAGGATGCTGAGGCACAAGAATTGCTAGAATCTGAGAGGTGTAGGTTGCAGTGGGCCGAGATCATGCCACTGCACTCCAGCCTGGGCTACTGAGTGAGACTCTGTCAAAAAAAAAAAAAATTATCCATTCTGTACCCTCAGACATAGCTGATGGGAAGGTAAAATGGTACAGCCACTTTTGTAAAGAGTCTGAAAGTTTCTCAAAAAGTTAAACAGAGTCCTGATATGACCCAGCAATTCTACTCCTAGATAAGTAACCAGAATAAATAAATGAAATCTCAGCTGCACATGGTAGCTCACACCTGTAATCCCAGCACTTTGGGAGGCCTAGGTGGAAGGATCACTTGAATCCAGGAATTCAAGACCAGCCTGGGCAACATAGTGAGACCCTGTATCTACAAAAAATCATAAATTAGCTAGGTATATTGGTGCATGCCTGTAGTCTCAGTTACTCTAGAGGCTGAGGTGAGAAGATCATTTGAGTTGTGGAGGTGGTCATGCCACTGCACTCCAATCTGGGCAACAGAGGAAGACCCTGTTTCAATAAAAAATAAATAGGCCAGGCTTGGTGGCTCATGCCTATAATCCCAGCACTTTGGGAGGCCAAAGTGGGCGGATCACCTGAGGTCAGGAGATCAAGACCAGCCTGGCCAAAATGGTGAAACGCTGTGTCTACTGAAAATACAAAAATTAGCCTGGTATGGTGGCATGCGCCTGTAATCCCAGCTACTCGGGAGGCTGAGGCAGGAGAATCACTGGAACCTGGGAGGTGGAGGCTGCAGTGAGCTGAGATCATGCCACTGCATCTCAGCCTGGGCAACAGAGCAAGACTCCATCTCAAAAAATAAAAAATAAAAATAGGCCGGGTGCAGTGGCTCATGCTTGTAATCCTAGCACTTTGAGAGAATCACCTGAGGTCAGGAGTTGGGAGACCAACCTGGTCAATATGATGAAACCCTGTTTCTACTAAAAATACAAAAATTAGCTGGGTGTGGTGGCATGCACCTCCGAAGGCTGAGGCAGGAGAATCACTTGAGCCAGGGAGGCAGAGGTTGCAGTGTGCCAAGACTGTGCCACTGCACTCCAGCCTGGGTGACAGAGTGAGACCCGTCTTAAATAAAATAAAATGAAATAAAAGTCAAAACAAGAAGCAAGATCTCTATTTTCATACAAATTTGCAGGATATATATTTTCTGAGTTCAGACTACAGTTCCAGCAGCAGTTTTTGGACCTTGAAGCAAGTGCAAAGGTTATTTCCATATTCCAAAATCCATTTAACTGTGCAATTGAGCAGCTTTCATCAAACTTTCAATTGGATGTGGTTAATCTGCCATATAATGCTAAAAGGTACTATTAAGAGAAGAATAGAATTCTATTCCAAGCAATGAATATGCTCAATTAAAATCATGTTTGTGTAACCTTGATAGTATATGATGAGAATGTGGTACTTGACTTCTGCAGACTTTCTTCCAAACATATAATATCAGTCTAAGTCTGATGTATTTTTTGATGTAACAAAAAATACATCAGACAAACCCAAATTGAGGAATTTTCTACAAAGTACCTGACCAGTACTCCTTAAAACTGTCAAGGTCACCAAAACAAGAAAAGTCTGAGAACGTGTCACAAACCAGAAGAGGCAAAGGAGATACAAGGACTAAATGTAGTATGATATCCTGGATGGGATAGCATCTCTAGAGATAAACTAGTGTAACTCGGGGCGGGGTGGGGGGAAGCATGGGGTATATAGTTAATAGCAATATACCAATATGGGTTTATTAGTTGTGACAAAGATAGCATAGCAATATAAGATGTTAATGATGAGAGATTCAGCAAATAGTGCAAGGACAATTTCTATATCCCCATGCGAAAAGATGAATTTAGATTCTCACCTCACATTATAGAGAAAAATGAACTCAAAATGAATCATATACTTAAATGTAAGAAATGTGGCTCACGTCTATAATCCCAGCACTTTGAGAGGCCGATGCTGGTGGATGACCTGAGGTCAGGAGTTAAAGACCAGCCTGGCCAACATGGCGAAACCCCATCTCTATTGAAAATACAAAGATTAGCTGGGATTGGTGGCTGGTGCCTGTAATCCCAGCTACTCAGGAGGCTGCAGCAGGAGAATCACTTGAATCAGGGAGGCAGAGGTTGCAGTGAGCCGAGATCATGCCACTGCACTCCAGTGTGGGTGAAAGAGCAAGACTCCGTCTCAAAAATAAAATAAAATAAAATAAATAAATATATATATATATAAATTTAAGAGATGAAGTGATAAAGCTTTTAGAAGAAAACATTGGAGAAAATCGCTGAGACCTTGCAATTAGGCAAAGACTTCTCAAGTACAACACCAAAAGAATGGTCCATGAAAGAAAGAAAAATGATAAGTTGGACCTCACCAAAATTCAAAACGTTTTCACTTCAAAAGACACATCAAGAAAAGAAAAAGGCAAGCAGCAAACTGAGAGAACATATGTGCATATATCTGTCAGGGACTTGATCTAGAATACATAAACAATCCTTATAACTCAACAATAAAAAGACAACCCAATTTAAAAATGGTAAAAAGATATAACAGATACTTCACTGAAGAAGATATATGAATGGCTAATAAGCATATGAAAATATGCTCACCATATTATAAATTATAACCACAATGAGACATCATTTTACACCCACTTAGGATGGCTATAATAAAAAACATAGTAAATAACAAATGTTGGCAAGGATGTGGAGAAACAGGAACTCTCATACATTGCTAGTGGAAGTGCAAAATGTTGCTGCCATTTTGGAAAACAGTTTTACAGTTTCTTAAGAAGTTCAACATAAATTTTCCCTGTGATCCAGTAACTCCATCCTTAAGCATCTATCAAAGAGAAATGAAAAAATATATCCATACAAAGACTTACATACTAATCTTCTTAGCAGCACTAGTCATAGTAGCCAAAGAAAGACTGGAAAGTTGTGTGCCTATCAAATGGTGAGTAGATAGGCAAAAATACATTATATCCATAAAATGGAATACTATTCAGCAATAAAAAAGTAAGGAAGTACTGATACATGCTACAATATGGATGAACCTCAAAAATGTTATGCTAAGTGAAAGAAATCAGATGCAAAATACCATACATTATATGATTTCATTTACATAAAATGTAGAGAACAGGCAAATTTATAGACAAAAAAGTAGATTAGTGGTTGTCTGGGGCCGGGAGTGGAACAGAGAATTGATTAACTATAAATGGGCATGAGAGATCTTACTGGGGGGATAAAAAAGTTCTAAAACTGATTTATGGTGATGGTTGCCCCAATTCAGTAATGTTACCGAAAATCATTTAATTATGCACTTGAAATGAGTGAATTTTATGATATATAAAATGTACCTTATCCTGAGTGAGGGAACTCTACTAACCTTGCAATTTTTCTATAAATCTAAAACTATTCTAAAATTTTTGAAAAATTCATTTAAAAGAAAAAAATATATGTTTATGAACTGATATCAGTATTTGGCAGTACCCATCTGTGTAAAATGACATTTTCAAAGATTAAATAGGTAAAAATCTCATAACAGATCAGCATTAACAGATGAACATTCAAAATCTATTTTGACAATAGGGAACACTAACTCTGATCCCCAATTAAGCAAAATACTATCCCCTAAAAATAATTCCTTTCTTCTTATTGGTAGTCCTGTATTACAAAAAAAAGTACTCAATTACTATTATCATATTTCGAATTTCATCAATAAACATGTGTTGAAATTTGTTTTCTCTCTTGTCATAAAAGTACCAACAAAATATTCTTGATTTTGCCTTTTGGCCTACAAAGCCTAAAATATTTACTATCTGGTTGTTTATAGAAAGTTTCCCAACTCCTGTTCTACACTATAACAGGAAAAACATTAACATAATCAGTCTCTTTCTTGAAAGTATTCTTATCATTACCTAGTTGTGGTATAATGTCCTCTGGATATGCCCTATAAAGGATAAGTCTTGCATTGTTTCTGCTATGGCACTATTTGGGATTTCTATTAAAAGAAACACTATTAGCTTAACAGTTGTAGCAAAGCCTTGATAACATAGTTAATATCGTAATATTAAAGTGCCAACACCACAGCCCAGTATCCTTAAGATGACCCTCATCAAGTTGTGATGTCACCAGGCTATGGACTCATCGAGGTCTCTTAGATATCAAGTGGCTCCCACGGCATCAGACCCTGCCTTTGCCATCACCCTGGCACATCACCTCAGTACGGTGCCATATGCTATCACTGCTGTGGTAGAACCCTGTCCTGACGCCACTCCGTCGAGATGTCAGAGTAATTAACCCCCACTTCTTTCCACTCCCTGGGCGGTGGCAGAGAGGGGAAGGGTAGCCAAAGTCACCGGTTCGAGCTCAGAAGGTAGTACTCAGCTCCAATCCTTGTCCCTTCCGCCTACCACTGCAAGTCAGGGACCCTGGGGGACAGGACCTTTAGGCTTCCATAACTCTCTTGCCCTGCCCCCGCACCCGTTTCGTGTGGCCGACTCAACGACCCAACAGCGACTACCCACCCCGGCTCTTTCACACGGTTCCACTCAAAGCCGCTCCCCGTACCTGACTCCATTCTCCAGCTGTCATCCTGGGCCAATTCCACCGGCAACTTGACTACGGACGCTCGCAAGGAACCCTGGGACATGTAGTTCCGCACTGCTAGGGGCCAAGTCTGTGAGGGCCGCAAAGTGGTCTCCCCGACCGGAACTGCCCTCAAACTGCAACTCCCAGAGGGCCGCGCGATGGGAAAGGAAAAGGGAGCGAGAGAGGCCAGTGATTGGTGGAGCTCTAACGGCTGTTTTGACTGGCAGTTGGAGCAGGCAACGTAAGGCGGGCGTTGGTCGCGCTTCAAGGAGTTACTGGGAAAGCGAAATGGAGGGGTGTGTGTCTAACCTAATGGTCTGCAACCTGGCCTACAGCGGGAAGCTGGAAGAGTTGAAGGAGAGTATTCAGGCCGATAAATCCCTGGCTACTAGAACTGACCAGGTAAAGCAACGCTAGGGTCTCTCCGCAGCCGGCGGCGTCGGGGAAGCCCTACGTGGCTGTCGGGGCCCTGCCCTAGCGGAGGCCCTGTTTCTGCGAGGAGCAGAACCCCGCCCCCAGCGCCCCGAGGAGTCCCCCGGGGTCACCTCAGGACTCGCGATTGGCCTGCGGGAGCTAGCCCCTCAGACCTCAGATATTTTTCTTTTTGGCCTGGAGCGCCGCTCCTTAATTTTTGGATAGTTTTAGACCGTCTACCGCATTTCTCAGAAACTCCCAATCCGTGAAAAGGAAAGCTTTTTATATAGATTTCTTTACCTTTATTAGTAACTGTATTCTGTAAAACGCGTAATTGAACGCCCCTTCTGTGTCAGGCAGTTTTCTAGGAGCTGGAGATACGGTGGAGTGGAAGAAGCAGATAATAAAATAAGCACAAAAACATATCCGATTACAAATTGTGGTAAATACTCGACAGAAAAGTTTACATGGTGCTGTAGGAGGCACCATGTAATAGTGGATCTGATGCCGAATAGGAGGATCTGATATGACTGTCATTAATTGGAAAAAACTTTGCAAGGAAGGGATAGTTAGACTTTGAAGCATGAGTGGGATTTCCATGGGGGAAGGAGTGGACATTTTAAACAGAGGCTGACAAAAGTGAATGGATGTTGAGAAGTGGTTCTGCCCTTCTGCTCACAGGACCGTCCTGTGTTTTCATCCTGAGTTTATGGGATTCACAGTGCCCTCAGTAAGCCCACAAATATTTATAGATGGCCTTGTGTTTCGCAGGCAGTGTGCTAGGCCCTAGTGAGACAGTGTCTCATACTTACAAATCTCCATTTTGTGTCTTTTGGGGGCGAATTAGAAATCAAGAGACTTTTTTTCTGGAACTTTATTACTCAACCTGAAAATGGCCTTACCTTTACCTAGTTTACCTCTTTTTAAATTTAAATCACTAGATATTTAAGGATTTAAATTTAAATGTAATAATTTATATTTTTAGGATTTAATAATACTCCATTGGAAATTTAACCATTCTTCAGTCAAGTCAGTGGCCTAAAAAGAGAAAGGAGCTATTCAGGATCAAAAGACGTCAAAAACATGAACAAATGCAATTTATGGATCTTGTTTGCTTCCTGATTTAAACAAACCAACTGCAAAAAGACATTTGGGAGGCAGTTGGGGAAATCTGAATACAGATCGGATATTAGGCATTCTAAAGGAGTTAGTGTTAATTTTAATAAGTCTAATAATGATCTCATAGTTATGTAAGAAATACTTTTATTTTTTACATATTGAAAAGGGTGAAAACTTATGATATTTAGGATTTGTTTCTAGAAAACTCAGCAAGGAAAAAACTAGATAAAGCAAATAGGGCAAGATGTTTGTTAAATCAAAGTGGTAGGCATGTGGGTCTCTATTGCATTACCTCAATTTTTATGCGTTTGAAATTTTTTGTAATAGAATTTAAAATACCATTTTCTATTCTATGGGGCTAAGAAGTATAGCAGTCACTGCAAATAGTGATTCCGTTTGACAAATATGGCTACTAGCTTTTTTTTTTTTTTTTTTTTTTTTTTGAGACAGAGTTTTGCTCTTGTTCCCCAGGCTGGAGTGCAATGGCAAAGTCTCAGCTCACTGCAACCTCTGCCTCCTGGGTTCAAGTGATTCTTCTGCCTCGACCTCCCAAGTAGCTGGGATTACAGGTGCCCGCCACACCTGGCTAATTTTTGTATTTTTAATAGAGACAGGGTTTCACCATGTTGGCCAGGCTGGTCTCGAACTCCTGACCTCAGGTGATCTGCCCACCTTGGCCTCCCAAAGTGCTGGGATTGCAGGTGTGAACCACCGCACCCGGCCATAGCTTATTATTTTTATAAAAAGTAATTTTCTTGCTCTCTGTTGTTTTCTAAATTATATTTCTAATTTGTTTATAATTTTAAATTATAGATAATTTCAACTAGTTTAATGAACATTTCTTCCCTCATTAGATTCATGTATTTCTACAGCATCTAACTTGAGGTCAGTGTGGTAGTAGAGATTTCAGAGTCAGAAATTCACTGACAGTTGTGTCCCAACTTCACTATTTAGTCCATATGACCGTCTGCAAGTTGCTTACCTGAGGAGTTTTAGTTTCCTCATCTGAAAACTGGAGATAATAAGCACTGTATAGAATGGTTGGAATTAAATGATATGATACATGTAAAACTCCCAGCCCAGTGCCTGACATAAAAGTATATAAATACTGTAATAGTAAAACAACCAAAGATGTATTTCTGTCAAAGCATTGAAATCAGTTTCTTGCTCTACTGCTTTCCTTGTCGTATTCTGGCCAGAATAATGTACATTTCTCACCGTCATTCTTCTCATGGTACTTAAACCTTCGTCTGTCTTATACTAGTAAGTAATATGGTTTAAGGTTACCCACCTGAGGATCCAGTGCTCTGCATTTCGTATTTTCAGACTACAGATTTGCCAGCACCAGTATTATTTTTTCTTGCTTTTTTGCCTTCTATTTCTCTTCAAGAATGTTTATATTATTGCTTCTCTGTTTCCCATGTAGGACAGCAGAACTGCATTGCACTGGGCTTGCTCAGCTGGACATACAGAAATTGTTGAATTTTTGTTGCAGCTTGGAGTGCCAGTGAATGATAAAGATGATGTGAGTACTTTGACAAAGTTGAGTCGATAAATTCCCAGTTATCTTTGTACTCCAGACTGGTGTTAACTGAAGCCTGTGCATTAAGCTCATAAACAAAATTGTAACCTTTATGACTGGAAAGTTACAGTATGGCCCATGTGATCAAGCATGAGACCCATGGTTGCATTCTTTTACAAAGATATGTTTGCCACTCATCCTCTGTGATGTAAACACACAGGAGAGGCTGAGGTGAGAGGATTGCTCAATCCCAATAGTTTGAGGCTGTAGTGAGCTATTGTGCTCTATCCTGGGTGACTGACTGAGGACTGAGACCTTGTCTGTAAAAATAAAAAAAAAGTAATCATACAGATCAGGGCTTGTTATGGTGAACCCTAAAAGGCCATAAACTCTATTATGTTGGAATTTTTTGTGTGTGAACATGGCCTGAATAATGAGGACCTAGGTAACTTTCTGTTGTATAAAGAGACTTATTGTAATGGTATTGATTATAGTAGGATTAAATTTTTTAAGAATAAGAATGGAACCTTTTTTGTAGGTTTTTTTTTTTTTTTTTTTTTTTTTTGCCTTTATAAAGCTCCTTGTAAACCCTGCCTAAGTGTTAGCACTAATCCTTGTACCTTTTTCCCCTGGTGTTTCTACTACCTACTTATTTTATAGGCAGGCTGGTCTCCTCTTCATATTGCGGCTTCTGCTGGCCGGGATGAGATTGTAAAAGCCCTTCTGGGAAAAGGTGCTCAAGTGAATGCTGTCAATCAAAATGGCTGTACTCCCCTACATTATGCAGCTTCCAAAAACAGGCATGAGGTATGGTTCCATCCCTAGGCTACTTCTGTTAAATTCTAAAAGTGTATACAAACACAGATAGATCTCTTCATTGTTTTCTCCTTTCTTCTCCAACTTTCCAGATTGCTGTCATGTTACTGGAAGGTGGGGCTAATCCAGATGCTAAGGACCATTATGAGGCTACAGCAATGCACCGGGCAGCAGCCAAGGGTAACTTGAAGATGATTCATATCCTTCTGTACTACAAAGCATCCACAAATATCCAAGACACTGAGGGTAACACTCCTCTGTAAGTGACAAGTAGCAGTCATTTGTATTCTAGCCCTCTTGCAATAATTTTTACACAGCATTTCTTTTTTTATTCTGCTTATAAATGCAATACGTGTTAATGGCAGAAATGTTAAAGTGCACAAAATATAAAGATAAAAATTGCCTATTTTCTTGCCACTCAGAAATAACCACTAATCACATTCTTGTATATTTCCTCTTGGTCTTTCATATGCAAATGTATATATTTTACACCTTTTTTTTTTAGCAAAGTTGAGATCATACTGTATGTGTAGTTTCAGATCTTGTTCTTTTCACCTCATAGTATATTATAAGTATTTTCTAATGTCATTAAATATGTTTAAAACCTTTTTAATGATTATATAAAATTCTGTATAGATGTGCCATAATTCAATAATTTCTCTATTATTGTATATTTAAACTTTTTTTGAGTTTTTCACTATTATAAATAATCGTACATTGAGCTGGGCATGGATGGCTCATGTCTGTACTCCCAACACTTTAGGAAGCCAAGGCAGAAGGATCACTTGAGGCCAGGAGTTCAAGACCAGCCTGGGCAACACAGCAAAACCCCACCCCCATCTCTAGAAAAAATTTAAAAATTAGCCAGGCATGGTGGCATGCACTTGTAGTACTAACTACTCAAGTAGGAAGTTGAGGTGGAGGATTGCTTGAGCCCAGGAGCTCCAGGTAACAGTGAGCTGTGATCACACCACTACACTCCAGCCTGGGGAACAGAGGAAGACCTTGTCTCTAAAATAATAATAATGCTTCACTGACCAACTTTGTATAAAAAAAACTTTCGGCCATATTTCTGATTATTACATTCATATAGACTCCTAGAAGTTGAATTGCTGGGTCAACAAATACCCATATTTTAAGACTTGCTGTATGTTGCCAAATTGCTTCCACAGGAGTTGTATCATTTTACTCCCAACAGCAGTTTAAGAGTGCCTGTTACCCCTCACCAACACTAAATTGTCCTTTTGTCATATGAAAATGATATTTCA